CTCTGCCTGATTCAGAAAAAATGAGGAAGGGTTGTAACAGCGCAAACACTGCAAAGTCCTGGGAAATGGTAGTATGGGGTGATCGTGGTATTTGTGGCTACTGTATGAAGAGCGTAGGATTCCGTGTGGCACTGAGGGCAAGGCTTCCAAATAAGCTGTAGCAACCTCTGTAGATGAGAAAAGGAGAGAAGCGCCTCTAAGTGCAATAAGTCTTTTTATTCAAGTCTAAATGTAGAAACACTCACATGTGTGAAGTAATCATAAGCTTAAAAACCGTGGTTAACAATAGTTAACGGTGGGGTGGTAACCCGGGTGAAGAGCCGACATCTTACTGCGATGTGGGGAGGTTAGCTCTCGGCTGGAACAGCGTGGGTGGAGGGGAACAGCGGTGAGGCCAGCTGGCATGCACGTCCTCCCTCAGAGCCGGATGGAACGCAGGGCTTGAAAAAGGAGCGCACTTTCGCCTTCCACGGCCAGTGCATGCTCCGAAACACGTCTGACGTCATCACGGCCACGCCGCCGCTACGTTCCAGCGCGCGTTCCATCCAGCTCTGAGGGAGGACGGCCTCACCGCTGTTCCCCTCCAGTCACCACGCTGTTCCAGCCGAGAGCTGACCTCCCCACATCACAGTAGAGATGACGGCTCTTCACCCGGGTTACCACCCCACCGTTAACTGTTGTTAACCACGGTTTTTAAGCTTATGATTACTTCACACATGTGAGTGTTTCTACATTTAGACTTGAATAAAAAGACTTATTACACTTAGAGGCGCAACTCTCTGCCTGATGCCCAAGCTGACTCTCCGCCTGCTGCCCAAGCTGACCCAGCTGACTCTCCACCTGCTGCCCAACATGACCCAGCTGACTCTCTGCTGGCTGCCCAACATGACTCAGCTGACTCTCTGCCGGCTGCCCAACCTGACCCAGCAAACTCTCTGCTGGCTGCCCAACCTGACCCATCTGACTCTTTGCCGGCAGCCCAACCAGACCCAGCTGACTCTCTGCTGGCTTCCCAACCTGACCCAGCTGACTCTCTGCCGGCTGTCCAACCTGACCCAGCTGACTCTCTGCCCGCTGACCAACCTGACACTGCTCTCTGCCTCATGCCTAAGCTGACCCAGCTGACTCTCCGCCTGCTGCCCAGCATGACCCAGCTAACTCTCTGCCTGATGCCGAAGCTGACCCAGCTGACTCTCCACCTTCTGCCCAAGATGACCCAGCTAGCTCTATGCCGGGTGCCCAACCTGACCCAGCTGACTCTCTGCCGGCTGCCCAACCTGACCCAGCTAACTCTCTGCCAGATGCCTAGCCTGATTCTGCTGACTCTCCACCTGATGCACAGCCTGACTGCTGATTCATCTTCTCAGGTTTTGTATCTTGATTTGGCTTCTAAGGTCCCATGTCCGGGTTCAGCTTCTGAGGTCCTGCAGTAATAACTCGGCTGGCAAAGTTCTATTTGAAGTTTTTTTGCAACCCGGATTTAGTCATTGTAACTCCAGATGTGTTAAGGGACTCGAGTAAGGTAACCAGGTGGAACTTGTCAAAAACTGGGTGTGTGTTTTTCACTGTTTACATTTGTAACATTTGTGGCCTGGTATGGTACAGGTAGGGAGGGACATGCTCGTCACTCCATTTCCTGGCCTGTCAGGCTGCATGCTCATGTAAGGGTCTAGTATGGAGTTTTGGGTGGAAAGCTGTACTTTTTTATCTTGATTTTTGCATGGGGTTTCTCCTTAAATCCATACCACACCCAAAGGATGTGGTATGGAATTTGGGGAGACCCTCTACAGTTTTTGTTTTTATTTTTTTTGTGTGGGGTCCCCCCTAAAAGTCAAACCAGACCTGAAGGACCTTGTATGAATTATAGGCCAGGCTGCATGCTCAGATAAGGGTCTAGCATGGATTTTTGGGGGGGGAATCCATGCTTTTTCTCTTGACGTTTGCAAGGGGTTCCCCCTTAAATCAACACCAAACTCATAGGGATCGGTATACAGTTTGTGAAGACCCACTGTAGTTTTTTTGAGGTTTTTTGGGTGGCTCCCCCTTAAATTTATACCAGGCCTGAAGGACCTTGTATGAATTATAGGGGAGGCCAGGCTGCATGCTCAAATAAGTGACTAGCATGGATTTTTTTTGGGGGAAGCCATGCTTTTCCCTTGACATTTGCAAGGGGTTCCCCCTTAAATCAATACCAAACTCAAAGGGACTGGTATACAGTTTTTGAAGACCCACTGCAGTTTTTTATTTTAGTTTATTTGGGTGGCTCCCCCTTAAATTTATACCAGACCTGAAGGACCTTGTATGAATTATACTGGAGACCCCATGCAGTTTTTTTTTTTTTTACCATCTCCGTCTCCTTTGCTTACATGGCCAGGGATTCCCTAATCCTAGATGAGGGTCTCATAAAGATAATAATAGGGAATCCCACAGAAAAATGGTGTGAGGGTTCCCCCCATAGATCATACTGGGTTTTCCAGGTCTGGTATGAATTTTAAGGGGAACCCTATCTAAAAAAAAGGAAAAAAAATCATCATGAGACCTCACTCCAATTCCATATCAAACCCTTGGGATCTGGTATGGATTTAAGGAGGAATCCCATGGAAAATTCAAAAAAACACAACGTCCACCCCTAACCAGGCCCTTACTAAAGCATGCAGTCTGACTAGCTAGGAAATGGGGGGGGGGAAGAGTACACCCCCCAAAACCATACCAGGCCACATGCCTTCATCATTAGGAGGGTACCCTGCCCCCCTGTTGACAAGGAGAAGGGCCTCTTACCCACAACCCTGGCAAAGTGTTTTTGAGGGTCTGCAGGCAGGAAGCTGAAGGCAAAAGATGAAGACTAAAACCTACAGGATGGGCTGTACTTGTAGTGTTGCAATATGGAGAAGGAGGAGAAAAATGATCTTGCGGTTGGAGGTGGTGATGATGCGGAGGAGGAATTACAGGAGGAATGATAGATGGGTCTATGGACTGATGGCCTTATCATTGGAGTATACTACAGACGTCCTGAGGTCTATGAGAAGGGGGAGAGTCGGCTGTTCCAACAAGGTGATGGTGCGGAGGAGGAATTACGGGAGGAATGATAGATGGGTCTATGGACTGATGGACTTATCATTGGAGTATACTACAGACGTCCTGAGGTCTATGAGAAGGGGGAGAGTCGGCTGTTCCAACAAGGACAAGCTGGGAACACCAAACTACTAAGACACAAGATGGAGACTAAAACCTACAGGATGGGCCATACTTGTAGTGTTAGAGAAAGGAATAAAGGAGAAAAATCTGAAGGAAGACTTTTATCAACCAACTTACAGAGAATATCACGAGTTTATGAAAGGAAATATTTCATCTTCTTTTGTTTCATATTAACAAATGTATTAATCTATTTGCATTTGTATTATACATATATAACATTTTACATCAGCTAATGCCATATTTTCCACTTTCTGCCAGCAGGTGGCACTCTCCAAGCATATGAAGATTCTTGTATAGGCTAACTACTGTACTGAAATGACCAGTCCTGTCTTGTAGTCTGATCTCCCCTTCTCTTCATCCACAAGCAATCTCTAGCTCCTCTCTCACCATGATGTCCTCCATGGAAGCTTCTGCTGAAGGTCAGGGGAGATAAGACTACACTGCTAGAGGGACCCAACCAGCAGTGACCCCCCCCTTCCTGCTCTCTCACCATGATGTCCTCCATGGAAGCTTCTGCTGAAGGTCAGGGGAGATCAGACTACTCTGCTAGAGGGACCCAACCAGCAGTGACCCCCCCTCCTTCTCTCTCACCATGATGTCCTCCATGGAAGCTTCTGCTGAAGGTCAGGGGAGATCAGACTACACTGCTAGAGGGACCTAACCAGCAGTGACCCCCCTTCTCTCTCATTATGATGTCCTCCATGGAAGCTTCTGCTGAAGGTCAGGGGAGATCAGACTACACAGGTAGAGTGACCCAACCAGCAGTGACCCCCCCCCCTTCCTTCTCTCTCACCATGATGTCCTCCATGGAAGCTTCTGCTGAAGGTCAGGGGAGATCAGACTACACTGCTAGAGGGACCCAACCAGCAGTGACCCCCCCCCCCTTCTCTCTCACCATGATGTCCTCCATGGAAGCTTCTGCTGAAGGTCAGGGGAGATCAGACTACACTGCTAGAGGGACCCAACCAGTATTGACCCCCCCCTCCTTCTCTCTCCTAGCAGAGGAAGCCAGACACAACTTTGAAGTCTTTAGTGATCTCTGATCTCCTTATAAAGTGTTTCTTCCATGATAAAGATCAGAGGAGCGCTCAGCCACGTGTTTTCTGAGGTGTATATCAAGGTGTTCTTCTTCCCAGTGTGAGATCTCTGATGTATGGCAACATAACATCCATCTAGAAGACATTTCCCACACTCAGGACATTAATATACATTGGGTGTTTTGTGGGTTCTTTGATGTATGGTAAGACAATTCTTCTTTGAGAAACATTTTCCCACACTCAGGGCAGGAATGGGGCTTCTCTCTTGTGTGAGCTTTTTGCTGTTTCCGCGTGTGGCGTATCTGATGTTGAGTAACATAGGATTTGCATGAAAACCTTTTTCCACACTCAGGACAGCAATACGGCTTCTCACCCGTGTGGGACCTTTGATGTTCTTTAAGACGGAACTTTCGTGAAAAATATTTCCCACTCAGGGCAGGAATATGGTTTTCTCTCCCTGTGTGAGATCTCTGATGTACACCAAGTGCTGATTTGCTTGAAAAACATTTCCCACACTCAGAGCAGGAAAACGGCTTCTCCCCTGTGTGCAATCTCTGATGATTAATAAGTACTGATTTCAGTCTATAACATTTCCCGCACTCGGGGCAGACATGCGGCTTCTCGCCCGTGTGCAGTCTCTGATGACTAGAAAGCTTGGACTTAATTGAAAAACATTTCCCGCATTCCTGGCAGGAATACGGCTTCTCCCCCGTGTGATATCTCTGATGTACAACAAGTCCTGATTTGTTTGAAAAACATTTCCCGCACTCAGGGCAGGAAAACGGCTTTTTCCCCCGTGTGAGATCTTTCATGTACAACAAGTCCTGATTTGTCTGAAAAACATTTTCCACACTCGGCGCAGGAATACGGCTTCTTCCCTGTGTGAGAGCTTTGATGTAAAACAAGGTCTGATTTCTGTGGAAAACACTTCCCACACTCATGGCAGGAATACGGTTTCTCACCCGTGTGGGATCTGTAATGTATGTTAAGTTTTGATTTACAAAGAAAAACTTTTCCCGCACTCAGGACAGGAATACGGCTTCTCCCCCGTGTGAGATCTCTGATGTCTGACCAGTTTTGATTTATATATAAAACATTTCCCACACTCAGAACAAGAGTAATATTCCCCCACCCTGCGATATCCCTGATGTATAAAAAGACCTGAATCAGAGCAAAACCTTTCCCCGTGTTCAAAACAGCAAAATTCCTTCTCCTTCATTTTATTATCATCCTTTACAGTACGAGGGTGCTCAGAGTCAGAGGGATTCCATGGTCTCTCCACACTGGGAAGTCCACCATCCATAGTGGAGCTCATTGTCTTTTTCTCCGGCACAATCTCCTGGGATGTCCTCATCTTCCATTTTACAACCTGGAGGTAAAGTGAGACGATCCTTTGAGGGTTTCTCCATGGCGGGTCCTGGAAAAATAGAAAAACATCATCAATAGATAGGAGAGGGTTAGTTCACTTCCATCAAGATTCCATCTGGATCAGGGAGACAGGAGGGAGCAGATGTTCTCTGTGGATGTCCCAACCAGCTGGGACTCTTCCCCTCTTCAAAGAGCCTTTGGTCCTCCCAGATCACTTCTACATTTACACCGCCTTGTCAGAGAAGCAGGAACCAATGGGGGCTGGGGGGAGCAGTAACATAGCAGAGAAGATAAGAGAAGAAAATTTTTCTGGTCACCTGTGCTGATCTCTATAGGAGTGTCTCCTCTATGAATTGTCCCTCCTCATTCCAGCCTCCTCTGTATATTGCTGATCATCCCTCACATACGTCTCTTCTACTTCACCCTCAACTTTCATGTTCATCAGATCTTCACCCTAAACCAACAGAATGGCAGAAAATAACATCTGTAACATAGAAGGATTTATGATGTGAGATCACATAGAACATCTCATCTTGTAGAGTCCACACATCGTCTCCACATGTCAGAGTGTTCCATCACTTTATGTTCCCGACCCTCAACTACTCCACCGACCTGATGATGGTGAGGGCTGGTGTGACCTTCCTGTGTGGAATCTCTCGGGAATACAGAGGACGGGGACATCTCTCTGGTGGGTTCCCATGACTGGATCCATCTACCTGATGATGGTGAGGGATGGTGTGACCATCCTGTGTGGAATCTCGGGAATACAGAGGACGGGGACATCTCTCTGGTGGGTTCCCATGACTGGATCCATCTACCTGATGATGGTGAGGGATGGTGTGACCTTCCTATGTGGAGTCCTGGGAATACAGAGGATGGGGACAACTCTCTGGTGGGTTCCCATTAATGGATTCATCTACCTGATGATGGTGAGGGATGGTGTGACCTTCCTGTGTGGAATCCCGGGAATACAGAGGATGGGGACATCTCTCTGATGGGTTCCCATTACTAGATCTATCTACCTGATGATGGTGAGGAATGGTGTGACCTTCCTGTGTGGAATCCTGGGAATACAGAGGATGGGGACATCTCTCTGGTGGGTTCCCATGACTGGATCCATCTACCTGATGATGGTGAGGGATGGGTGTGACCTTCCTGTGTGGAATCCCGGGAATACAGAGGATGGGGATATTTCTCTGGTGGGTTTCCCATGACTGGATCCATCTACCTGATAATGGTGAGGGATGGTATGACCTTCCTGTGTGGAATCCCGGAATACAGAGGACGGGGACATCTCTCTGGTGGGTTTCTGTAGCTGGATGATTCCACCATGGTGTCCTGGTACAGATTTTTGGGAAACTCTGACTCTTCCCATCACCCCATCCTCATCATCCTCCTCTTTTATCTCTTCTTTAACCTCAACTGTAGAATCTCTCAGGTTTCCACTCTGAATATATAATAAAATGACATCAATGGTAACAATGCAGATAATGTACAGATCCTAATGATACTATCAGTGATTGTTTTCCTCATCTACCTGAGGGATGGTGTGACCTTCCTGTGTGGAATCCTTGGAATACAGAGGACGGGGACATCTCTCTGGTGGGTTCCCATGACTGGATCCATCTACCTGATGATGGTGAGGGATGGTGTGACCTTCCTGTGTGGAATCCCGGGAATACAGAGGACGGGGGAAATCTCTCTGGTGAGTTCCCATGACTGGATCCATCTACCTGATGATGGTGAGGGATGCTATGACCTTCCTGGCCCTGTTGTGACATCCATGTATCCTTCTTGTGTCCTTTATCACACCATACTCATCGCCCTCTTTATACTCTGCCTTAACAACGTTATCATCCCCGATGCTTACACTTTGATTATATAAAGAAGAAATTCATTTGTAACAAACAAGCTTGTGTTTAAATCATAACTACTAATATCTGGTAATCATTTTACCTGCTGATGGTGAGGGATGGTGTGATCTTCCTGTGTGGAATCCCGGGAATACAGAGGACGGGGACATCTCTCTGGTGGGTTCTTTTACTAGGTGGCTCCATCATATCCTTGTGTCCATCTAAAAGTTCCTTCATCAGACCATACTCTTCATCCTCCTCTTTATACTCTTCTTTATTACCAATGTTATTATTCATGATGTTTCCATTCTGAATATATAATACGACATTCATTGTAACAAATATGTTGATATATAAAAATCATAACTACCAATAATTGTTTCCTCATCTACCTGATCATGTTGTGCGTTGTTTGATCTTTCTGTGTGTCCATCATGACGTCCTTGTAGAGGTCCTTGTGTCCTTCTAAATACTCCCACTCCTCCATGAGAAATAGACAGTGACACCCTGACACCTTATAGGAACCTGAGACACACAATGATACAGTCACCATACAGACACATCCCTTGTCTGTTACTGGAGAATGTCCCAGAAATTCCCGGCACCGCTCACCTCTCCAGTCAAAAAATGATCTTGTTTGGTGAGGTCTAGAATTTTTTTTTTATAGTTTATACATAGAACATTGTGTAGTTTATTGTTAGAATCAAAGTTTTTTTGTATCTGCTACTTGCCCTATGCCGTCACTTGGGGTCAATGTACTCCTGAGATGGGCATAGCCTATCGTTTATTGGTTGCCTGGATAGCTTGGGGAATGGCTGTGGTTGGCACCTCTGGACATATTTTCCAAGGCCAGTGCGTTCTGCTCCACTTGAGTCCACTCTGATGAAGACCAAAGTCTTTTTCAGAAACCAACTCTTCTTGAAGGGATGATGTTCTGGCCTCCTCCAGTGCTCTGTGGTTTTAAGCTTGATGACCTCAACACTAGTACTCTGTCCCCGTACCATGTCATAGAGATCAACAGGAGGTAACACAGAGCTCTGTGGGGGTCCAGGAGATTGACACTCCCCGGTCATGTCGGTTTCTGAAGAAGAGTCCCCGTGCCATGTCAAAGAGACCAAAAGGAGGGTAACACAGAGCTCTGTGTGGGTCCAGGAGATTGGCACTCCCCGGTCATGTCGGTTTCTGAAGAAGAGTCCCCGTACCATGTCATAGATGTGAACTGGAGGTAACACAGAGCTCTGTGGGGGTCCAGGAGATTGGCACTCCCCGGTCATGTCGGTTTTCTAAAGAAGAGCCCCCGTACCATGCCATAGAGATCAACAGGAGGTAACACAGAGCTCTGTGGGGGTCCAGGAGATTGACACTCCCCGGGTCATGTCGGTTTCTAAAGAAGAGCCCCCGTACCATGCCATAGAGATCAACAGGAGTAACACAGAGCTCTGTGGGGGTCCAGGAGATTGGCACTGAACCCCGGTCATGTCGGTTTCTGAAGAAGAGTCCCCGTACCATGTCATAGATGTCAACTGGAGGTAACACAGAGCTCTGTGGGGGTCCAGGAGATTGGCACTACTCCCCGGTCATGTCGGTTTCTAAAGAAGAGCCCCCCGTACCATGCCATAGAGATCAACAGGAGGTAACACAGAGCTCTGTGGGGGTCCAGGAGATTGGCACTCCCCCCGGTCATGTCGTCGGTTTCTGAAGAAGAGTCCCCGTACCATGTCAAAGAGATCAACAGAGGTAACACAGAGCTCTGTGGGGGTCCAGGAGATTGGCACTCCCCGGTCATGTCGGTTTCTGAAGAAGAGTCCCTGGTACCATGTCATAGAGATCAACAGGAGGTAACACAGAGCTCTGTGGGGGTCCAGGAGATTGACACCCCCCGGTCATGTCGGTTTCTGAAGAAGAGTCCCCGTACCATGTCATAGATGTGAACTGGAGGTAACACAGAGCTCTGTGGGGGTCCAGGAGATTGGCACTCCCCGGTCATGTCGGTTTCTAAAGAAGAGCCCCCCGTACCATGCCATAGAGATCAACAGGAGGTAACACAGAGCTCTGTGGGGGTCCAGGAAGATTGGCACTCCCCGGTCATGTCGGTTTCTGAAGAAGAGTCCCCGTACCATGTCAAAGAGATCAACAGGAGGTAACACAGAGCTCTGTGGGGGTCCAGGAGATTGGCACTCCCCGGTCATGTCGGTTTCTGAAGAAGAGTCCCCGTACCATGTCATAGAGATCAACAGGAGGTAACATGGAGCTCTGTGGGGGTCCAGGAGATTGACACTCCCTGGTCATGTCGGTTTCTGAAGAAGAGTCCCCCGTACCATGTCAAAGAGATCAACAGGAGGTAACACAGAGCTCTGTTGGGGTCCAGAAGATTCCCCGGTCATGTTGGTTTCTGAAGAAGACTCCAGTCGGTATCAGTGCTCCCGTTCAGGGAGGTAAGAATTACCTTTACAGGGGAAAAACCTTAATTTGGGATTGACACTTACTCAATTCTTTCTTATTTTCTAGTATTTTCAGTTCAATAAGAGAAAGAACCTGAAAGTCTGATGAAAAATTAAAAGACATATAAACATTTTGGGCAGCGAAATAGGATATTGATTGGTCTGGGTGTACATCAGACTGAAAATGAGGGACATTTAAAGGGTAAAGGGGGATTGAGAAATTTGGTTCCCAATAATGGACAGTGATGGGAGATATGATAAAATAAGATCTTATTACCTCCTCCGCTGCTAATTTCAGAAACGTCTCCTCTGTATTTCTTCTATGTCAACTCTCG